GCACCCCTCCAGCTTTGACTGAAATGCTACTCTGAGACATTTTCTTGTTTTTTTCTTGTTTCTTTTTTTTCAGTTCGTTTTTTAACTGAAGTCCAGCAATAACCGATTGTTATTGCTGGACAATACATGACTATAAACATTACTATAAGATAATGATAATTTATAATATAAAACATTGTTAATGCACCTTATTTTGTTAACACTTGGTTAGTGAGTGAGGTCCCTTCTACACTGTCCTATATCCCAGAATCTGATCTCAGATTATCTGCTTTGAACTGGATTATATGAGTCTACACTGCCAGATAATCTGGGGTAAGAAGATAATCTACTATCAGATCCTGGGATATAGAGCAGTGTTGAAGGGGCCTGAATTGTCAGAGAAATATGAAGAGGAGTGTAGCTATGGGACATCGTGAACATTGCCCCTTCAAGGATTCTGCCCCCTAAGTGAAATTTTCTTTCAGTCACCAATTTTTTACCATGACAGTAATTTAAAACATCATTTGAAATTACAAATACAATCTCAAAAAGATATTTATTTATCGTGTCAGGAGCAACCAGACAGTTGTATTATATTTTTAACAAAACAAACAAACAGACAGACAAAACACAAAGTTTGCAAGCTTGATAGTTGATTAAATGTCCTTTAACCAGTATCTGGCCACTTGGAGTGCCTCTGGTGTTGCCGCAAGAAGGTCCTCCGTTGTGCATGTGGCAGGGCTCAGGTTGCATTGCAGTAGGTGGTCAGTGGTTTGCTCTTCTCCACACTTGCATGTCATGGATTCCACTTTGTAGCCCCATTTTTTAAGGTTGGCTCTGCATCTCATGTTGCCAGAGCGCAGTCTGTTCAGTGCCTTCCAAGTTGCCCAGTTTTCTGTGTACCCAGGGGGGAGTCTCTCATTGGGTATCAGCCATTGATTGAGGTTCTGGATTTGAGCCTGCTACTTTTGGACTCTCGCTTGCTGGGGTGTTCCAGCGAGTGTCTCTGTAAATCAGGGGTAGGGAACCTTTGGCCCTCCAGCTGTGGTGGACTTCAACTCCCACAATTCCTTGAGGCTCGGCATTCGCCCCAAAGGCTTACCTTGGCCCAATGCCGAGCCTCAAGGAATTGTGGGAGTTGAAGTCCACCACAGCTGGAGGGCCAAAGGTTCCCTACCCCTGCTGTAGATCTTAGAAAACTATTTCTTGATTTAAGTCATTGACATGCTGGATGATACCCAAACAAGGGATGGGCTGGAGATGTCACTGCCTTGGTCCTTTCACTATTGACTGCAACTTCCCGGCGGATATCAGGTGGCGCAATACCGGCTAAACAGTGTAATTTCTCCAGTGGTGTAGGGCGCAGACACCCCGTGCTAATGCGGCATGTCTCATTAAGAGCCACATCCACTGTTTTAGCATGGTGATTTGTGTTCCACACTGGGCATGCATACTCAGCAGCAGAGTAGCATAGCACAAGGGCAGATGTCTTCACTGTGTCTGGTTGTGATTCCCAGGTTATGCCAGTCAGCTTTTGTATGATATTGTTTCCAGCACCCACCTTTTGCTTGATGTTCAGGCAGTGCTTCTTGTAGGTCAGAGCACGGTCCAGAGTGACTCCCAGGTATTTGGGTGTGCTGCAATGCTCCAGTGGGATTCCTTCCCAGGTAATCCTCAGAGCTCAGGATGCGTGTCGTTTCTTAAGATGAAATGCACATGTCTGTGTTTTAGATGGATTAGGGATCAGCTGGTTTTCCCTGTAATAGGCGGTAAGGGCACCTAGAACTTCTGAGAGCTTGTATTCTACCATCTCAAAGCTCCCTGCTTGAGCAGTAATGGCACGATCATCAGCATAGATGAAACTCTCTGTCCCTTCTGGCAGTGGCTGGTCATTTGTGTAAATGTTGAACATGGATGGAGCAAGCACGCTCCCCTGAGGCAGGCCGTTCTTCTGTTTCCACCATCTGCTTCTCTGGCCCTGGAACTCAACAAAAAAGCTCCTGTTTTGTAGCAGGTTTCCTATGAGGCGGGTGAGGTGGTAGTACTTTGTGATATTATACATTTTTCTCAGGAGGAGGCGGTGGTTCACAGCATCATAAGCTGCTGACAGGTCTGTAAAGACAGCTCCTGTGATCTGCTGCCTTTCAAAGCCATCTTCTATGTGCTGAGTCAGGTTCAGCACTTGCGATGTGCAGCTTTTGCCTTTCTGAAGCCAGTTTGCTGTGGAATCAGACATGAGGGAGACTCCCACTAACACCAAAAGGAGCATTTTAGTCTCATAGCTATTTGCAAGAGCAAAACCTCCTTCCTTACATATTTCAGACAAAACGAGAATTTCCATCACCACCACCATCAGTAGCCATGTATCATTTTTTCAAAACCAATGCATGATTAATACCCACAAGTTGTATTGGGTGTCACAAGAGACTGCCCTCTGATGGAAAGCTGGTCGGATCAGCAGTATTATTCCAAGTGTGTCTATGTTGTGATGCTCTGAGGACCACTTAGGACTGAACTGAAAGTAAGATTCTGGAGAAGTGTGAATGTTGGAAATAAGATAGCTCTAGAATGGGCTTGTATTGGTATTTTCATTCACTTAATATTAGTAGGTTCTGCACATGACCTTAATGTTATCCTTACTGGCAGGGGTGGCTCAACCCATTATGCAAAGTAAGCATTTGCAGTATAGTTGATTTTGCCCAGGGGTGCTCCGGAGGTGCTCTTGGGGGAAAATAGACCTTGACATATGCAAGTTATAGTTACTGGGATGTATAGTTCACCTACAATCAAAGAGCATTCTGAACTCCACCAGTGATGGAATTGAACCAAATATGGCACACAGAACTCTCACGACGAACAGAAAATATATGTCAGAATGCAAGATACTCCACTTTGGCAGGAAAAACGAAATGCAAAGATACAGACTGGGGGACAATGCCTGGCTCGAGAGCAGTACGTGTGAAAAAGATCTTGGAGTCCTCGTGGACAACAAGTTAAACATGAGCCAACAATGTGATGTGGCGGCAAAAAAAGCCAATGGGATTTTGGCCTGCATCAATAGGAGCATAGTGTCTAGATCTAGGGAAGTCATGCTACCCTCTATTCTGCTTTGGTTAGACCACACCTGGAATATTGTGTCCAATTCTGGGCACCACAATTCAAGAGAGATATTGACAAACTGGAATGTGTCCAGAGGAGGGCGACTAAAATGATCAAGGGTCTGGAGAACAAGCCCTATGAGCGGCTTAAAGAGCTGGCATGTTTAGCCTGAAGAAGAGAAGGCTGAGAGGAGAATGAGCATGTATAAATATGTGAGAGGAAGTCCATGGAGGAGGAGGGAGCAAGCTTGTTTTCTGCCCTGGAGACTAGGACGCAAGGGAACAATGGCTTCAAACTACAAGAAGGAGATTCCATCTGAACATGAGGAAGAACTTCCTGACTGTGAGAGCTGTTCAGCAGTGGAACTCTCTGCCCGGAGTGTGGTGGAGGCTCCTTCTTTGGAAGCTTTTAAACAGAGGCTGGATGGCCATCTGTCAGGGGTGCTTTGAATGCAATATTCCTGCTTCTTGGCAGGGGGTCGGACTGGATGGCCCAGGAGGTCTCTTCCAACTCTTTGATTCTATGGTTCTATGATCAGCAGTATTATTCCAAGTGTGACCATGTTGTGATGCTCTGAGGACCACTTAGGACTGAACTGAAAGCAAGATTCTGGAGAAGTGTGAATGTTGGAAATAAGATAGCTCTAGAATGGGCTTGTATTGGTATTTTCATTCACTTAATATTAGTAGGTTCTGCACATGACCTTAATGTTATCCTTACTGGCAGGGGCAGCTCAACCCATTACGCAAAGTATTTTATTTATTTATTTATTTATTTATTAATTATTCGAACTTATATGCTGCCACTCCTTTGGGGCTCGGAGCGGCTTACAAGAACAGGCTAAAATCGAACACAATTTAAAAACAATTTAAAACAATTTAAAAACAATAATATCAGAGATCAAAGGCCCATTGAAACAGATATGTCTTACATGCCCTGCGGAAAGCTGATAAGTCCCGCAAGGCACTGACCAGGTGGCAGAGTATTCCAGAGTGATGGTGCCACTGCTGTAAAGGCTCTGTGTCTGGTTGCTGTTAGACACAAGGTCTTGACACTGGGAATTTCCAATAGATCTTGGTCCTCAGAATGGAGGGATCTCTGGGGTTGATAGGAGATGAGGCGGTCCCTCAGGTACATCGGCCCCAGACTGATGTACCTTACTGCAAAAATAAGCATTTGCAGTATAGTTGATTTTGCCCAGGGGTGCTCTTGAGGCGCTCTTGGGGGATAATAGACCTTGACATATGCGAGTTGTAGTTACTGGGATGTATAGTTCACCTACAATCAAAGAGCATTCTGAACTCCACCAGTGATGGAATTGAACCAAATATGGCACTCAGGACTCCCATGACGAATAGAAAATATATATCAGTGATTGGTTGGGGGGGGGGGGGCGCCAAAATACTGTTTGCTTACTGTTGAAAATTATCTAGGGCCACCTCTGCTTACTGGAGAAGATGTTAAGAAGAAAAAAGACAGAACAGCTCTAGGGTACCAGAGGAGGGAACTGTCAAAGCTACCTCTGAGTTCTCTTTGCCAAAGAAAGCCCTGTGAAATTCATGGGGTCAACCATAATTCTACAGTGACTTGAAGCCTCACATACACATACATTTGCTGTCATAAAGAGTCTCTCCTGTCTGGAAGGACTCCTTTGCAAGCCAGTCCTTCTGCAGTTAACAAGTCGTTGTTTTGATCTACCTACATATCATTTTTTAAATTAACTTTCAGAGATGATTATGTAGAAAAGGGATGATGAAATTGGGGCCTAAACAACCAACCAGAATCACACATTCTTTTTACAATGATTGCCCTCGTCTCCAGTGAACTGTGTAACTCCACCCCAGACAAGTGATTTCTATAGGGGCGTTGAGAGCTGGGTGTACTTAGCAACCCCTTGGCACTTCTCATTTCTGTACCACGAGTTGACGGGCCCCTCAGACACCACACAGGAGTTTGGTGACTCAAAACTGATTTCTCACATCAACTCAGCAGAGTCATGATGGACAGGTAAATGGGTGGCTTCTGCTACTGTGCAATATGACTGTATCCAGAGCGGGGTTGATCTGGACTTCTTTTCTTCCCCATCTGACTCAGCTCTCCAGATGGCTTCTCCCCATTTCTCGGTCCTCAGATGCCGTCATCTTGGTCTCCATCTCTCTCCCACACTCTCACTCTCATAAATATTTTTCTTTCGTTATTGTTCTTCATCATATTCACTGTAATCTTTCTCTTCCATTCCTCTCATATCCAGAGTTTGCTTAGATAATCTCTCTCTTTATGCATTGTTTCATTCCTCAAATTGTTTTTTGTATATTCTTATGAAAGCACAGTATACCATATACTATGACAACACCAACAACAGCAATTTCACCCTATGAAACTTTAAAGAACAATATAAGCAAAAGCTATATACCCTTGCTGCCAATGAAGTTATGACAATCAACAGTAAAAGTTCAACAGGAGAAAAGGAAAGGGAGGAAGGGGCAAAGGGAAGGGTTTAAGAGCCCAGAAATATACTTGAATGTTCGGTATACAGAAGACTTCTATGTAACTTACATGTTCTGGCATCAAAAATAGCCTTCTGTAGAAGATATTCTGTATGTTGTTTAGTAAGAAACAGACAAATGATTCTAAGTACATTTTTTCTTAATTTGAACCTGTTTACATTAAAAACCACAAAGCATTTGTTAGAGCATAAACTTTTTTTGGCATTTGCAAAACAGCGTGTTTCTGTAGATGGATTGATAGAATTAATAGGACAGCTTTTGAATCTGAATGACCCCTCTATCTATCGGACCTCTGTTTGAATTAGTTTGTCTTACGGTTCATTTCATAATGGGACTTCAGGATACTTTATGGAAATTCAAATGTCAAAACAAACTGAACTGGACAGATATATTCTAACCACCCACCCCCTACCCCACAACAAGTCATTACTTCACCTGCTTTGTTTTACATGATTAGGTTGTATTTATTTATTTATTTTAAGCTCTTATATCCCGATCTTCTCAACCTCCGTAGAGGGACTCAGACCGGCTTACAGCAAGGATTCAATGCTAACAGCACAATCTAAAACCATCATATAATAATGAGTTAAAATACATATCGATTAAAATTACAAATAAGCCAAATCGCCAAGATAAAATCATGTCCAACTCAGTCCGTATGTGTGGTCAATAACTTTGTTCTGTAGCTGATTTCAACCATTACTCTGGGAATGCTTCCTTCCATAGCCAGGATTTCACCCGCCTCCTGAAGGACAGGAGGGAGGGGGCATATCTGATCTCAATTGGGAGAGAGTTCCATTGCCGAGGGGCAACCACAGAAAAGGCCCTGTCTCTCATTCCCGCCAGACATGATTGTGAAAGTGGCGGGACCGAGAGAGGGCCCCACCAGAAGATCTTAATTGTCTTGGTGGTTCATAGATGAGAATGCATTCGGACAGGTAAACTGGGCCGGAAATGTATAGAGTTTTGTAGGTTAAAACCAGCACTTTGAATTGTGCTTGGAAGCAAATTGGCAGCCAGTGGAGCTGTCACAACAAAGGATTTGTGCGCTCCCTGTACCCCGCTCCCATTAGTAATCTGGCTGCCGAATGTTGGACTAATTGCAGCTTCCGGGCAGTCTTCAGAGGCAACCCCATGTAGAGATCGTTGCAGTAATCAATACGGGATGTAACCAGAGCATGGACCACCTTGGCCAAGTCAGACTTCCCAAGGTATGGGTGCAGCTGGTGCACAAGCTTTAATTGTGCAAAAGCTCTCCCGTCCACCACCGAGACCTGGGGTTCCAGGCTCAGCGATGAGTCCAGGATCACTCCCAAACTGCAAACCTGCGCCTTCAGGGGGAGGTTGTACCTTCTGTTTCTCTTGTGATTATGTCCTTGTCCTTAGATAGAAATTCTTCCACAAAGGATTTAAGCATAGGAAACAATATAAAACATAAAGCATCTCAACCTACATGGTTGGAGTGCTTCCTTGCATAGTTGAGAATCATAGGATACTCACCCTTTACTGTTTGAGTTCAGAATATGCTCCTGGAGTCTAAATTTTACTTTGGAAAATATTTTTTACTTCGATAGCCCCTATCTTCTGAGCTACAGTGATTAACCACTTCGAAGCTCTCAGGTCCATCTTCGCTTACTTCACAGGTCTGTGATGGAATTAAAAATAATGAAAAAAAGTAAATAAGCCATGGTTCAGGTTGCTTCCCATGCTACACTTTGATTTGAAGTTGATCTGGGATGTTCTTTTTTTTCTCCACCCTTGTTTGCTTTCACAGTTCCATGTCAGATGCTGGGAACATTTCCCATCTGGAGTATTGGTCTCATATTTCCCCAGTCCCTCAACTTGTATAGCCACTGGCCATGCTGACTGGGGATTCTGAGCATCCTTTATCTGGAATTCTGAAATCCAAAATACTCAAAAATGCAAAGATGTTCTCATGGTAGCTGAGGTAGTAACACCATTTGCTTCCTGATGTTTCAGTGGAAATAAACTTTGTTTCACGTGCAACATTATTTAAACTATTGTGAAAAAAAAATGTTCCCAGGCTATGTGCATATGAAACATTCTGTTTAGTCTTGGGTCCCATCTTCAAGATATCTCATTATCTACTAGGCTTGGGCAGTTTCGTTCGTTAATTTCGTAATTCGTTATTAATTTGTATTTAAATTAGCTTACGATCCAATATTGAGCCATGCAGGACTACTGTGAGGAGTAATTAAAAATCGAAACAATTTTTCCAATTTATTTCATATTGTTTCGTAATTGTTTCGTAATTGGTTCAAAATTGTTTCGAAATTGTTTCGTAATTGTTTCGTAATTATTTCCGTATGTCTGGTGCAAGTTTTATAGTTTGTTTTATCAGTGATACAAAATAAATTATCACACCAACAGTCAACAACAGAGGGAGAGGGAAGCTTCAGAAGTTCCCCCTGTCCCATTTGGAGGGTTTTTTAGCATATTGTGCAATTGGGTCCGCCATTAACGAATCGATTCGTAATTTTACGAAATTTCGTATATTTCGAACTTTTTTAAAGGGAAATTTCGGAATTCTTTAAAAAAACGAAACACAAGGGCCCCCCTAAAAACGAAACGAGTTTAGAAACAAATTTTTCCGTGGTTACCCAAGCCTATTATCTACATTTATGCAGATATACTATGTTTCCCCCCAAAATAAGCACGACTTTTGAGGATGACCGAAATATAAGCTCTACTTCAAAAATAAGCTCTAGTTACAGTTCATTAAAAAGTCAATTTGGAAAAATAAGACATCCCCGAAAATAAGCCCCATTGTGTCTTTTGGAGCAAAAAATAATATATTTTCTTATTTTTTGGGGAAACAGGGTAGAGACTCCAAAACCCAAAACAATTCTAATAAGTATTTTGGATAAGAGTTGCTCAACCTATACAGTAATAACTTTCTCAAGTTCTACTCAAATGAGAAACAGATGTTTCAATCCAACCCCTTAACTGGAAGGTCACCCAAAAAGAAAGGTGATGACGGGCTGGGATTATTTTTAACCCTTTCACTCCTGTTTTGCATTGCCTATGAAGGTGGCAAAGGTCTTGCTTCAGTGAGCACCGTTATTTGCAGCCTCACAGTTCTTCACAGTCCTGCCTTACAATATAGAAAGTACAGAGAAAGAAGATCTCAGCTATTTTTCAGCGCCTTCAAATTTTCTAACCCAGATTTTTGCTATGCAAGGCACATTTATTTATTTATTTGGATAGTTATATATCAAAATATCTCAGGGCAGTGTCCAATAATGACAATTACAAAAAATACATTGTATCATTTTTCATTTAAAACCAGAAAATTTAAAAATCAGTTAAGACAATTTAATGCCACTCATAACACATGTACAGATTCAAAATAGGCTTCAAAGGCTTTAATAAAAAGCCACTTGTTGACTTTGTGCTAGAATGACTCCAATGTGGGCAGTGCACTTTTTTATATAATTATTTGGCTCTCTGGCTTTCCTCTTTCCTACTGGTTTAAGTAAGTATAAAATTTGGGGGTAACTATGCCTGCATTGTAGCAGCCTCTCCCACCTCGCTATAGTGTTATAATTTGTGTACAAGATTTCTATGGAGTATTTTTCTTTAAAAAAATAGCATCTCCAAGATTTGTTAGGATTGCTTATCCTTGAACACTATACCACTGCTTTCAAACCTGGCCCCGTTTAAATGTGTTAAACTACAAGTTCCACCAGCTAGTCTAATCAGCCTAAAGGCACCAGATCCCATCTGATATTGGAAATTAAGCATAGAATCATAGAATCATAGAATCAAAGAGTTGGAAGAGACCTCATGGGTCATCCAGTCCAACCTCCTGCCAAGAAGCAGGAACATTGCATTCAAATCACCCCTGACAGATGGTCAACCAGCCTCTATTTAAAAGCTTCCAAAGAAGGAGCCTCCACCACACTCCGGGGCAGAGAGTTCCACTGCTGAACGACTCTCACAGTCAGGAAGTTCTTCCTCGTGTTCAGATGGAATCTCCTCTCTTGTAGTTTGAAGCCATTGTTCCGCGTCCTAGTCTCCAAGGAAGCATAAAACAAGCTTGCAGAGTCGTTTTGTTTATTATTTGGATGGGAGATGACAATTGAATCCCATGTGCTACATACTATATTTGAGAGGAAGAAACTGGTAAGACCACCTATGAATATTTCTTGCCCAGGAAAATCTTGTGGGGTTCCCAAAAGCAGATAGTCAGTCAGTCAGTCAGTCAGTAGCCTTTATTTCAGTCAACAAACCATCGGCAGACCAACAAACCATAAGCAGATAGGTGTTTTGAAGATGCATGCACACACATGCCCTATTATTCAAGAAAATATTGCAAGCCACACTAGTTGCAGGAGATGAGAATTGAAGTCCTACTGATTTTGAGGGCTCTAGGTTGGCAAAGGTTGTTATAGAACTTCTCTCAGTGGTGGTGATGGTTGAGGCTTGGTCTTATAGCCCTTCTACTTCTTATTTAAGTATGTCCCTTTCATAATGGAGTAGCATGGTGTACTGTAGAAGCAGCATAGCACTGGACTATGACTCTGGAGAGCAAGGTTCAAAATGCCACTTAACCATAGAAACTCACTTAGTGGCCTTGGGCAAGTCACACCCTCAGCATTAGAGGAACACAAATGTATTTATTTTTATGCCATTGTTTTTCTGACATTTTATGATATTAATTGTATATTGCAATTGGAGCCCCCGGTGGTGCAGTGGGTTAAACCCCTGTGCCGGCAGGACTGAAGACCGACAGGTTGCAGGTTCGAATCCGGGGAGAGGCGGATGAGCTCCCTCTATTAGCTCCAGCTCCTCATGCGGGGACATGAGAGAAGCCTCCCACAAGGATGATAAAACATCAAAAAATCATCCAGGCGTCCCCTGGGCAACGTCCTTGCAGACGGCCAATTCTCTCACAACAGGAGCGGTTGCTCCTGACATGACAAAATAAAATAAAAAAATATTGCAATTTGTATTTATATGTTTTATGTAGCATTGAATATTGCCAATCTCGAAGCCACTCTGAGTCCCCTTTAGGCTTGAGTTAGGGTGGGGTAAAAATGCAGTAAATAAATAAACAAAATAAATAAACACAAAGCTAAACCACTGCTGCACAGATCTTTCCAAGGAAGTCCAGTGAGGATTTGGTTTGGTTCTTTGGGGCATTCCAGAATTGTAGATGGGGAACCATCCGAGCCCCATTGGTGGCTTCAATTTCTTTTCTTTTCTTTTTTGCAGCGGGAGGGATTTCTATAATTCTTTGAAAATGCTCTGTTGAAATGTTAAATTGCTACAACGCTAGAAATTGAGGAATTAAAAGGATATGTCAGGAAGAAAGCAATGCTCATATTTTAAACCCGCAGACCTCCTGTCAAGCCAATTTTATTGTGCTCTAGGTACCAGAATCCCTTTCTCATCCACCAGTTCCACTCCATATCCATTGTACAAAACAACTGTCTCCTTTTGCTTCTCATCTGCTTGCCTGCTCACCTGCTTTGACACCAGGAATTTTGCAAGTCCACCAACAAGGAGGCCCTCCCAAGAGGGCATGTCTTTGGATTTGTTCCTGACCCACAGTAAGACAGAGAGGGAAGGAAACAGAAGAGCCCCTTCCTCAGATCCCTCTCCTCCATGCAGAGCTGGGAGCCTCTTTCCTCTACATCAGACTCTGACCAATGAGTGTCCATCACTCATAACCCCCCCCCCCCCAAAAAAAAAACAGTGGAAAGGACTTAAAACCCCCAAAAGATAAATGACGAAAAGATAAATGACATACAGAAAGGAGGGATGAAAAGAAATGGGTAGAGAAAGAAGGAAGGAGAGAAAGAAAGAAAAGGAAGGAAAGAGGGAGCGAAGGAAGAGAAAGAAAGAGGGAGAAAAGGAAGGAAAGACAAAAGAAAGGATGGAAGCAAAAAGCAAAGGAAGGAAGGAAAGAGGCAGAGAAGGAAGAAAGAGAAAGGGAAGGAAAAGAAAAAGGGAGGAAGGAAAGATGTAGAGAAGGAAGGAAGGAGAGAAGGAAAGAAGAAAAGGGAAGGAGGGAAAGAAGGAGAGAAGGAGGGAGGGAAGCTTGGCCACAGCAACGCGTGGTGGGTACAGCTTGTAGTCTTTAAAGTTATTAAAAGCATGTTGTTTTTTCATGCCAAGTGAAATACCATTAGCATGCAAGAAATAAAGCATGATTAAAATCTTTGTATGGTCATAAAGATAACACTTAATATGATTTAAATTACCATCGGTAAAATTGTTATAGAAAGCAAAATAAAAACACCTAACACCAGAAAAATTGGCAAAAATTAATAGAGGTAGAACTAATGACAAATGTTGTAAATATGAGAAGTACACAGGCACTTTCATACACATGTGGTAGAAGTGTAAGAAAATCAAATCCTTCTGGCACCTGATATACAAAAAGAGAGAACTAATTTTACAGATAAGCTTTAAGTTTAAACCAGAGTATTTTTGATTAGGAATCATGGATTTTGAGATGGAGAAAAACACAAATAAAATTTTCATTTATTTAGTAACAGCAGGTAGGATCAACCTGGCCCAATTATGGAAATCCAATGAAATACAAACAATTGAAAAATGGTTACTGAAAGTCTGGGACATAATGAATATGGACTTACTTACACAAAGACTAACAGAAAATAATGTACAAAGAACAAACTGGGAGAAATTTACTGAATTTATTAGGAAAGATAATGCAGAAATTAACAACCAAGAGGTTTTAAAAAATTCTCAATGGCTGAAAGAGAAAAAAGAAGAATCACAAGACTAGCAAAAAAAACCCCTGAAATTACAATCTAGAGGAACCTGGAAGTTGTAAATTCAATAGGATGTTTTTCTTCTTTCTTATTTTTCCCCCCTCTTCTCTTTTACCTTTCACCATCTATCCCCCCTTCCTACTTTCTTGCCACAAATTGTTCCCACACTTTTGTTGTAAAATACTTCTGTCTTTTAACTTATTTCTTTACTTCAACCTTATTGGAGATACTTTATTCTCAATAAAAATAATATTAAAAATAATTTAAAAAATATTTTAGTCTTCTTATACCACTGCAAAATCTTACTTTGGCAGATAGATTGATTTTCATCAGTAGCTTTCATTTCCCTCGATTCTCATGTAAAATACTCTTTTGCTGTATGAAAAAAAAATTGACTCTGCTTCAGCTTTTTGTTCACTCCAGAGCTTGAGTTCGAAAGTTCCCTCTGATCTAATCACAGCTGCTCTGTAGCTTCCTCTTGAATTATATGTTATTAATTCTTTTGATGTTATTTATCTTCTCAGTCTCCTTATGAAACAAAAGAAATTCCTGTACCACTTCAAGAATTTGCGCTGGGCCAAAGGCCGCCATGAAACATACCTTTGCTATGTGGTGAAAAGGCGGAATAGTGCCACATCTTGCTCCCTTGATTTTGGATATCTGAGAAATAAGGTACAAAACATGGGTGAGGCATGTTAAGGACTCCTATAATGGCCGTAGATTAGCACCCAAAGTTGGCAAACATTTTATTCTTGCTGTTATGTGCCTTTGAGTTTATTTATTTATTTATTTACTATATTTACCTGCCCTCCTCACCCTGAAGGGGACTCAGAGCAGATTACAGAGTTGATTCTAGTGACCCTCTCACAGAGTTGTCTTAGCTGTTTATTCAAGAGCTTCACAACTACCTTCCTTTGAGGCTGAGAGTGTGTGACTTGCCTAAGGTCACCCAATGGGTTTCTCTAATTATGGGGAAAATTAAAAACTCTGGTCTCCCAGAGTCCTAGGACCTCTTAGATGCAGGTCATCACGTTTTCCACACTTCAGGGACGTGTGCACGGAGCCCACCACACAATGTAAAACTACTTCCAGATGTTATTCGTTGCCTTTCGTCCATGAAAAGTAGTAGAAGTATGCAGAAACGGAGGGGTGGGGGGAATAGTCTTCTAAACTCATGATGTGCCTGGAAATAGGAGAAAATGGGGGAAAACATATGGGAAATTTGTCAGATTTGCTTGTGTTGTTTCAGTCTATGGGTGGTCCCCTAACAAGCATTGACATTTCTCACCAAAAGTAACGTCATTAGTAGAGACCATACTGATGAATCTGGATGTTCGATTACTTCTTGTGCCAGTGCTGGCTAGCTTGAAGAAAGAGCGATGCTAGCATTAGAATAAATCACACTGCAGGGTCTCTTACTTTCAGTAGAATTGGTACAACTTGGAAATAGAAATCTTGGAAATAGTTAATACAAGATCTGAAATGGAAACATGCAGAACTTTGTGCCACATCCCATTCGAACAACTACCTCTACTCTTTAATTTTCCTACCAATTATCCATATATTTATGTCATCTGAGAATGAGTTATTATTATTTCACAGAATCAAATGGTAAAAACAGAAAGAGCTAAGTGTTGGAACACCCTTCTACCCCCAAATCCTTTCTCTATACATGGAATTTATATGTATGTAAAGTTTGAAAACGTGTAAATGTGAGTAGATCAATAGGTACCTCTCCGACGGCAAGGTAACGGCACTCCATGCAGTCATGCTGGCCACATGACCTTGGAGGTGTCTACGGACAACACTGGGTCTTTGGCTAAGAAATGGAGATGAGCACCAACCCTCAGTTAGACATGACTGGATGTAATGTCAGAGGAAAACCTTTAACTAAAGTTCCATTTATCTTTGGTTTGATATAATTTTCCACTGTGTGTGTAAAGGACTTTTTTTGCAGGGAGGCAGCATTAAAACACTCAGCTCTCCATACATAGCTTAAAATGGTAGTGACTGTATAAATCTGTAGCCCTAATGCTTATTTATATTATGATGAACTCACTCTTGCAAGTGTTGAATCCCCAGTCCTGTGTTACATTCTCTCGTATCTTCTTTTCTTGTAATTATGCGAATTCACCCTGTTCTTTGACCTCTCACTGATCATTAGTTGTATCTCTGTTCTGCTCTCTATTTTTCTGTGTCCTTACTTCAGTCTGGTTGCCATGTTGAAGTTCTCTTCCTGCGATACATTTCGACGTGGGATCTGGATCCAAGGCACTGCTATCGAATCACCTGGTTCACATCCTGGAGCCCTTGTTACGACTGTGCCCGGCACGTGGCTGACTTCTTGAGTGCATATCCTAACCTAACATTGCGCATCTTTGCTGCTCGCTTGTATTTTTGTGAAGAACGCAATGCTGAGCCTGAAGGGCTACGGCGTCTCCACCGTGCAGGAGCTCAGATGGCCATTATGACTTTCAAAGGTGAGTCAAAACAAGGATGATTGGGAGATGAAAGCCAAGGAGGGAATTAGAAGAAGTCAGAAAGGTACAGTCAGGTGCATCCCCAGTAGTTGAAGCTTAGGGCATATTTATCTAGAAGCTTAGCATGAATTTAGTATCCCTTATCTGAAATGCTTGGGATTAGAAGTGTTTTGCAGTTTCTTGGATTTTGGAATATTCACATTTGCATATATAACATGGAACCAACACAGTGCACATCAGGAGAATGGGGCATTTAGTCTGAACTTTAAAATGGAGCCCCCTGTGACACAGTGGATTAAACTGCTGAGCTGCTGAGCTTGTTGACCGAAAGGTCACAGGTTCGATTCCGGGGAGCAGCGTGAGCTTCCACTGTCAGCCCTAGCTTCTGTCAACCTAGCAGTTCGAAAACATGCAAATGTGAGTAGATGAATAGGTACTGCTCCAGTGGGAAGGTAACGGCGCTCCATGCAGTCATGCAGGCCACATGACCTTGGAGGTGTCTACGGACAGCGCCAGCTCTTCGGCTTAGAAATGGAGATGAGCACCACACCCCAGAGTCAGACATGACTGGACTTAATGTCAGAGGACAACCTTAAAATGGCTATTCAAGGTACAGAATCTATTTTGAGGATAGTGTTCAGGGTTTGGGATAGCAATTTTATGTCCAGACTAAATCCTAGAGTGGATTCATTGCCACATTGGTATGGAAGCTACTTTGCCACCACTGGCTATACTGGGAGGAGGAGGCCAACAGAGAGTTTGTAGTTTCTTGATAAAAGTACCCTACCCAGGATTCATGGATAGGAACATCTAAGTAGTTGTTTTATAACTCTGGTGCGCAGATGCACTCTAACAGGTCAAACTTAATTTGAATATTCTGGATCCCTCTCCCATTAGACTACTTTTACTGCTGGAATACCTTTGTTGAAAACCGTAAGTCGACCTTCAAGGCTTGGGAAGGGCTTCATGAGAATTCTGTACGTCTTACCAGAAAACTGCGTCGTATCCTTTTGGTAAGCTGGTGTTTCTCTCTTTCTGTTGCCCATCCTCCCCCATTTTTATTTTTGCTCTTTTTTTCTTCTTCTCTCTCCTGGGATTCCCTGCCTTCTCCCGATGCACGCACCAGAATCACTGGCACTCCCTGGTCACCCTTTGTGCGTTGGCATCTCATCTTAATTTTTCTCTCTTCACTTTCATCCTTCCTTTTTGTTGAATGTCCTTGTCTTTTTTCTTCTTCTTCACCACAGTCTCATTTTTCTATATTCCTGTACAGGCAGTCCCCGAGTTACAAACATCTGACTTACAAACAACTCATAGTTAAGAATGGGGGCAAGACAACAGGAAATGAATCTCCCCCTCAGAAGGGAAAATCACTCCTAGAAAGTGTCTCCACAGAAGCTTTATAACCAATCCTTTTTCCCACAAGTCAAATTTTTCAAAATCCAATTGTCACAGGGACAGAATGTGAGCAAAACAAACTCCACAGGCTTTCCTATGCTATCCAAAGCTTTATATCTATCTAATCTATCTATCTATGGATGGAGTTACACTTAAAAATGTACCTGTTCCGACTTACATACAAATTAAACTTAAGAACAAACCTACAGAACCTATCTTGTTCATGACTTGGGGACTGCCTGTATTCCTTTTCCTTTTTGTTATTTTTATTTTCTACTTGGACCTCTTTTTTCTTCATAAAATCATAGGATTGACAAGGGTATCCAAAGGTGCCCTCTGGCATTTTGGAATACACAAGAAAAACACCCTGAAAGATGCCTGTACCTCCAAATAAGAGAATATGCTCCACCCATGGCAGTCTATGCCACTCTTGAGTACTCCATACTCACAATAAATAAATGTTTTTAAAAATGTTTAGGTGGAATCTCTATTATTATTATTATTATTATTATTATTATTATTATTATTATTATCTTTATTTGTATCCCGCTAGCATCTCCCGAAGGACTCGATGCGGCTTACAAAGGCGAAGGCCTCAATAAAACAATAGCATAACAAATACACAACTTAAAGCAAATCAAAAACAAAGCAATATCAAAACAACAAAAAACAATACACCAGAACACGATAAAACTAGGGCCGGGCCAAATGTAATGGGTACAGGTTAAAAGGTGCTGGCTCTGACAGGTGGTATGTCGGATTTTAGGGTAAGTGCAGTGTGTAGGCAGTCGTAAACTCTAATAAAGTGGATTGTTGTAGGTTTTTTCGGGCTGTATGGCCATGGTCTAGAGGCATTCTCTCCTGATGTTTCGCCTGCATCTATGGCAAGCATCCTCAGAGGTAGTGAGGTCTGTTGGCACTAGGCAAAAGGGTTTATATATCTGTGGAATGACCAGGGTGAGACAAAGGACTCTTGTCTGCTGGAGCTAGGTGTGAATGTTTCAACTGACCACCTTGATTAGCATACAATGGCCTAACTGCGCCTGGGGCAGAGAGGTAATTAGATGTCCCTACCTGCTTCCTCTCTGTTGTTTTGCTGTTGCAATTTTAGAGTTTATTAATACTGGTAGCCAGATTTTGTTCATGGTTTCCTCCTTTCTGTTGAAATTGTCCACATGCTTGTGTATTTCAATGGCTTCTCTGTGTAGTCTGATGTGGTGGTTGTGAGAGTGGTCCAGCATTTCTGTGTTCTCAAATAATATGCTGTGTCCAGGTTGGTTCATCAGGTGCTCTGCTATGGCTGACTTCTCTGGTTGAAGTAGTCTGCAGTGCCTTTCATGTTCCTTGATTCGTGTTTGGGCAATGCTGCGTTTGGTGGTCCCTATGTAGACTTGTCCACAGCTGCATGGTACACGGTAGACTCCTGCAGAAGTGAAGAGGATCCCTCTTGTCCTTTGTTGAATGTAGCATTTGTTGGATTTTCTTGGTGGGTCTGTAGATAGTTTGTATGTTGTGTTTCCTCATCAGCTTCCCTATGCGGTCAGTGGTTCCCTTGATGTATGGCAAGAACACTTTTTCTCGGTGGATCTTCATCTTTATTTTCGTGGCTTGTTCTTGGTCTTGCAGCTCTTCTGATGTCTGATGTGGAGTATCCATTGGCCTGGAGAGCCCAGTTGAGGTGGTTCAGTTCATCTTGGAGGAGGTGGGGTTCGCAGATTCTTTTTGCATGGTCTGCCAAGGCTTTAATGGTGCTTCTTTTTTGACTTGGGTGATATCTATCTTGAGTTTTTCTGTAGATATCTATCTGTGTGTGTGGGTTTTCTCTAAACGGTGTGACCCAATTGTTGATCTGGTTTGCGGATGACTAGGACATCTAGAAAAGGCAGTCTTCCTTCATTTTCTTTTTCCATGGTGAACTGGATGTTTGGGTGGATACTGTTAAGATGGTCCAGGAACCCGTTGAGTTCTTCTTCTCCGTAAAGAATGCCTGTAGACCATGGCCATACAGCCCGAAAAAACCTACAACAACCCTGTAATCATATGAAGTCCCCAAGTTGTCAATATATTTGTAGTTTGTAGACTTTTACGTATTTCTGTTGCACTTCTCTGAGTACATTCCAACTTAATGTCAAAATCGTGCTTGAATCATAACGCCTAGAACTGGACATAGTATAACCAAAGCAGAACAGAGTGGTGTGTATACATCCCTTGATCAGAGCATTACAGTCTTGTTGATGCAACCCATATTTGCATTGCCTTTTTTGCCTGCCATATCACATTGTTGACAAATGCTTAACTTGTTGTATAGCACAACCCTGTAGATCCTTCTCACATGTAGTGCTTTCAAGTCAGGCGCCAACTATCCCATATTTATAATTTTCATTTTTTGTCCCTTGATGTAGTACCTTATATTTATGCCTGTTGAATATTAATTTTGTTTTCTTAGTTTTGAAAGAAATTTAGTTAGCTGTTGTGAGCTCCATACCTCTGCTGAAACAATTTCTTTGCAGGAAATTTGAACGTGCATTTCTTTCTTTCACAGCCACTTTATGAAGTTGATGACCTACGAGATGCTTTCCGGATGCTGGGACTTTAAGGTGCTGAGATTGTGGGTAACATGAAGAAAGATCTCTATCCATGAACATTCAGGACTCTTCATCCCACTCTTTCCTTTGCTACTTTTGTGGGCATTGTCATTCTGAGAAAAAAAGTAGCCCTTCTGGAAAAAAAAATGAGAAAGACCCTCTGAGATTATGTAGATTTGCACATAGAGCCTCCTGCATCTTTTTGAGAGAAAGTAAAGTTTGTGAAATTATGAAATCTTCTTGATTTCTATTAGTGAGGATAGCTAGAGAAATTGACATTTTAATATTAAATAGAGTTAGAAGAAGTATAGCCAAATCTCTTAGATTGTTTTAAATTCCAGACATAGTCATCATTTAAAGGAAACATGATGGAATAGGAAGCTAAATATGAGTTGTAACCTTGCTTCAGTATGGGCAACACACAAAATTACTGACACATCTTGTTACACAACATCTAAGGGAGTCCCACTGGAATTGGATAGACTTGGAAACTGTGACATGATGCCCTCTTGCCTTGGCATCACCTTGCTATCATGCTTCCAAGCTGAATCTATATAGCAAGCAATTATTGTCTGAAGAACACTACAGCAGTCTGATATCCTTGCTGGACTTGGTGCTTACACTGGGCCGGTTTGTTCTGTGGTGTCGTTTTTACCAAATTGCGAAGTAGCAGTATCTTCTCACATCATAGGAACAAAACCCGAAACAAAATATGTTGGAGTCGAAGTTAGAGGTGTAACATTTAATTTTTGCAACCAGGTCATGGAGTTGTAAAAATAATAATTGACAATAATTGACAAAAAAAAGGTGATCCTGGGGTCCCTTTGCCCAGTTATAGTACACTATTGTACTCTTAACAGACATGGCTGCAGCTTGTGGTGTTGGGATTTGTAGTTTGGTGGGTCACTAGTTGAGAATTCTAAATATATACTCATATACTTGTGCATAAGTCAGGGTAGACTTTGTGCTCAAAATTATGGAATTTGAAAAGACTGGCTAAGTCCAGCATCACTCCTCAGAGAGGGAAAAGAGCAAAAGCCACCTCGGGAGCCAGTTGCGTCTGGTCACTGCCACCTATTATTTTTCAACCCAGGCATTCAGAAAGACTAGAAGGAGTACTACAGGGGAGAGAATAGAGGGGATCAGTGCTTCTTTTAGGTTTTCTCTGGACTGACTCAGCTCTTGCTTTTCCCCACTCCAGTCAGAGAACTGGATGAGTTCTTTAAAAAAAAATAAGAATTAAGGTACAGTACTTACATTGAAAGGAGCCCCTGGTGGCACAGTAGATTAAACTGCTGAGCTGCAGAACTTGCTGACCGAAAGGTCACTGGTTCAAATCTGGGGGGCGGGGTGAGCTCCTGCTGTTAGCCCCAGCTTTTGCCAACCTAGCGGTTTGAAAACATGCAAATGTGAGTGGATCAATAGGTACCGCTCTGGCGGGAAGGTGACAGCGCTCCATGCAGTCATGCCAGCCACATGATCTTGGAGGTATCTACGGACAATGCTGGCTCTTTGGCTTACAAATGAAGATGAGCGCTAACCCTCAGAGTCGGACACAACTGTACTTAATGTCAAGGGAAAACATTTACCTTTACCTACTTCCATTGACCTATCAATAATTTGACACAAGGTTAGGGGCCATTATTTTTACTAATATTTCTAGACATTTCACATGATTATGTGCAGGATCTCTCACTAAACTGCAAATCCCAAATCCCATAGCACAAATCCAAAATTTTGATCTAGGTGTTGTGGCTTCTAGGAACTGAAACCCAAAACACCTGGCACACAAAAGTGTTGTAACCACTTTCATTAGATGTTGCCCTGGCAGTTCAAGCGGAATCGTAGTGCTTAACCTGTGCGCTAGTAAATAACGCAAAGTCAGAGAAACTGCAGATGGCAAGCTCCATCTAAGTAGAGGCATTCTCCTTTTGGACAAAAAAGGATTGTCTTATTGAAAAGTATGTCTGCTACAGCACATGCATGCATCATCCAAAGCCATAGAGTTATGTTTTCTAACTTGAGATGTACTGTGTGCTGGTACGGCTGTACCAGAAGCTCCAACTTTATTTGCTTTGTATTAAATGTTTGTTTGCAGTCCTAGGTTTCAGGGTTCTGCAGAAAGGTGGCTTCCTTTGGTTGCAGTCGTAAGGCAAGTCACCTGTCCATCATCGTTAAGTTTTGGTTCCGCCCCTTGCTCAGGGCAATTGGGATGGGAAGGGAGCCATTTTTAGTTAGTCCCAGCAAGGAAAGCTAATKTACARGACGTGTGCAAGCTTCCTCTGTACAAATGCTTCAACCCTTAAGACTTTCTGGGGGGAAATAGTCTTAAGAGTCTCCAAAGATTTCCAGGAAAACAGCCCTAAAGACCAAAGAACTCCAGCTGGAGAATATCTAAGCCTTTACTGGTAGGTCCACTTGGTGCTTCGAGACGCAGTTCGACCTGGTAGCGGAGCCCACATCAGTAAGGGTTAGATTACAGTCAGCCTGGGAGAAGTGACCTCACTACCTCTGAGGATGCTTGCCATAGATGCAGGTGAAACGTCAGGAGAGAATGCCTCTAGAACATGGCCATATAGCCTGAAAAAATCTACAACAACCTTAGCCAGTTTGTTCAATGGCCAGGAACTCTGGGAGCTGAAGTCCAAAACACCAGGAAGGCTACAGGTTGTGCAGATCTGGTGCAGATCAAGGGAAGCTTAATCTGCCCCTGCCCCCCACACCCCACTGCAATTCCTGAGATTGTGGACCTAGTATTGTTTTTTCCTGTCCACTGGAACTGATGGGATGAAAAAAATCCCATCCGCCAAGGGAAGATTTACCCATCCACAGGCCAGACTGCAAACAACCACTAAAGTGCACAAAAGACAACCCTTAATGCATATTTGTGGGTTTTGCGGTTACTGTCCGAGCCTCAAACAGGATTACCTATGTAAGACTCTGGGAGAGTAGAGTTCAAATCCACTAAAGGTGAGAAAGATTAAAAAATGCACCACTTTTATCTGTTGCATAATATGCACAGTATGAGGACTCCCCCAATGTTCTCTAGTGTTTTGTGCATAACCGATCTGTGCTATGCCACTTGAGCTGCATTGCTTGGTTTTATAAAAATGAACTTAATTTTGTGACATATTTGTGACACATTTTCCTCTCAAAATTATCCTGTGTGGCTGTAAATGTAAATAGATTATCTCTTAATATGCAGTGATATAGAACACTGCCTTATACTGAATCAGAATCTTGGCTCATCTCTAACTGCCAACAGTAGTTCTTTCCCTCTGTACAATCTGTAGTCTGGTCTCACATTTGCAAACAAAGCTACCCAGATAAACAAGCTTCATTTCCGAAATCAGAAGAGATTACATATGTTCACATTCACAGCTGGTATACTGTAATTGCTGAGAAGTTACTAGATATTTATCATTGGTGCCAGAGATCCAAATATTTCATTTAGTATTTTATTATTGTGTAATTGTATGTATTTGTATCTAAAAATATTTGATTAAAAACATGTAATGTCATAAGTCTTTCCTTCATCAGAGAGGGAAATATCCCCTGGCTTCTAGCAGATTCTTGGTGTTTCTAGAACTACACTTAAAAGTTCCAAAGTATAGGAACGGTGACATTTCTTTGCTAAGCATTAATTCTTTCGTATGTAGCTGCATAATATGCTTATCCCATACATAAATAAATATATCAATATGTGTATCTACTGATTTCTTTTTTTAATCTTTGGCACTGTTTGTCAGAGATTGGGGAAAAGAGCTGAAATGCTAAAAAAATCTAGACATTATAGTTTACATAATAATTTAAATTGCAATAGACTTCACAAAGATATCTCATCTGCAGTTTGTCTTGGTTTTATCTGTTTTATAGGGCCCTTCCACACTGCCATATAGCCCAGAATATCATGGCAGAAAATGCCACAATATCGGCTTTGAACAGGGTTATCTGAGTCCACACTGCCATATATCCCAGTTCAAATCAGATAATATAGGATTTTATTCAGCTGTGCCGAAGGGACCATAGTCATGGGTTCCCTCCATGAATTCTGGGAGCTGTAGTTTGGCAAGAGTACTGAGGACTGGTATTAAGGCACCTTTAATTTGAACAAGTCATTGAACACACAGCTCATTTTATTCAAAAGTGGATAAATGTCTCTCAGGTCCCATCCAGACAGGGCCCAAAACACGTGAGCTCATGCACTTTTATTGGAGACATCCAAACAATGCCACCAGTGTGGATTGGGCCTGGGGACCGTGTCATGCAATCCCTGGGCCCAATCCACACAGCCCTCTTGGGTTTTTTGGGTTCAATGAGCCTGGAAAATCTAGAGGACACCAACCCCCTTCCAAAGACCCCTCAAAAGAAGCCTGTAAAAATAAAAAGAACTACCCATCCGCCATTAAAGTATTTCTGGAGTCGTCCTGATGTGTAGAAATGATGAGCCAGGAAGGGCAGAGGGATGAGCATGACATCTAGACACCCCTCTGTGGGAACTTAAACTCTCCGGGACACTGTGTTTTTAGTGTAACTATGTTTATTTAAATATTAGTATTTCTCATTATTATTTCATATTATTTCTTTTTTTAGTAGTTATAAGGCTATTGATGTTGTTTGCATTGCTTTGATTTGTTTGTTGACTATGGTATTGAATGTTTACCTTCTTTGTATGTAAACCGCTCTGAGTTCCCTCGGGGAGAGAGGACAGTATAAAAAATTATTATTATTATTATTATTATTATTATTATTATTATTAAATGTGCACCTAAGCGGGTTTCTTAAATCTGCTTTGGCGCGCATTTAAGTGCTGTCTGGAAGCAGCCTCAGTTCTGCAGATGTTCTTGTGTTTTACACAACCTCTCTTTATTTTAATAGAGTTTCCACAAACTTAGTTACTTCATTTTACAGGAGTGAAAAATGCCAGATGTCCAAGCTGGGTTCAGAAAAGGGAGAGGTATTAGGGATCATATTGCAATCATAACTGGGTTACAGAACTCACCTAAGAGTTTCAGCAAAAAATCACCCTGTGCTTTATAGGTCATATTAAAACCTTTGTGCTTATTTTGAAAAATTATGGATTGTTCTAAAAGAAATGGGTGTGTCACAATATTTTATTGTCCTGATTCATAATCTATATGCAACCTAAGAAACACCTGTAGGAATAGAATATAGAGAAAAGTAACAAAGTGAGTCAGGCAAGGCTGCCTTTTATCACAAAATCTATTTAATTTTTATGCAGAACATATACAGAAAGCTACACTAGACTCAAAGAATGGATGCATAAAATTGGAAAGAGGAACATTAACAACTTATGACATGCAGATGATACAATATATGTAGCTGCAAACAACAAAAGTTTGACATACTTGTTAAGGAAATCCAAGAAACAAAGCAGGGTTAACCTTATGGAAACAAAAATAGTAACCACAGATTATTACAGTTTTAAAATGAATAATGGAGACAATGAAGTGTACACTTTTGATACTTTGGCTCAGTCAAAAATCAAAATGGAGACTATAGTCAAGAAATCAGAAGAAGACTTAAGACTGGAAAGAACAAATATGAAAAAAATTAATCAGGATCTTCAAATGTAAAGACACATAGTTCAATATCACAATCAGAATGCACATATCATATTTCCAATTGTTATGTATGATT